TGTTTTTCTCACTTTACAGGAGGTGTGTATTAAGCTTAGGTAAACAATTTATGCGTGTGGTCTGATAAATAAATTTAAATCAAAGTAAAATTAAAACAAAAAATGACGAATCGTGAATATATAATTTTGCGTTAATTTTGGCTATATATTTGGCATTTAAAAAAAATTGTGTTATTGTTGTTTATCTTAACGGACAAGGATGTATTTATTATTCAGCTGCCTTTTTTTTATGAAATATGAAACATTAATTTGCTTTACTTTAAAATAAATCTGGTTATAATTATTTTACTCAACGACCTAGTAGGTAGGTAGGTAGGTTAGGTAGTACTCAAATTCGTAAAAGTTCGGTTCGATTTCCTTCGCCGGATCGGCGGAATAACATCGTTCGTGGTTCGCTAAAGTGAATCACTTGAGAACGAATCTTGAAGAACGAATCTTTTTAGGTGAATGAATCAAATGAATTAATTCAGTAAAAAGATTCGAACTTCCCACCTCTAATATTTAGTGTAGTTTTTTTACAAATATATACTCAGTGACTTGTTTTTGTGAATGAGTTCAAGTATGGCAGACTAAAATCGTTATTTTTTATTATGAATTAATTTGAATTTATTTTAAAATGGGAACTATATATATGGTTTTCGTAGTTTTTACACTTGTGATAAAAATATCAAAGTTATGTATATTGGTCATTTACTACACACAGCAAATTCATAGACACAATACATATTACTATTTGACATTCTTGTAAAACCACTAATTTAAAATTGACTTTAAACTAAGTGACTACACACAGAATTGTTTGAAAGCAGCCATAAGGTATAATTTATTTATTGGTTACTATAAAAAAATTAATAGTAGTTACATGTAGAGTTAAGTAACAAGAAATTTAAGACCAAAAACAAAACAAACCTTTATATCTAGTGAACTTAATTTAGTACAGTCCTCAACTTTCTTAGGCTAACATTAAAGATATCTATTTGGATCTCGCTAAGAAACTCATTGGTAACAGCCATCATCTTGTTAAAAGGAGATATACTACTTGGATCTAAATCAAATAATTTTTTGTTACTTGGGTTTCTTAGATTAATCTTTGCCGCATTAACATTTATATAGTCAATCAATTCACAAACTTTGTACTTAAAATAGAGTACAAAATATATCACAGCCTGTTGCTTTCTTCTTTGTAAAAGAGATTTAATCTTAAAACTATTGAGCATAGTTTTATACGAGATCTTAGGTATAAGGGTACAAGTATTTTTTATGACATAAAGGTACCGTAAAAATATTTATTGTACTTTTTCAATATGATCAATTTGTGTGGCTTCCAAGGGCATCCATATTTGTGAAACATACTCAAGATGGAGTCTTACCAAGGCATTATATAATCTGATTTTGGTGGTAATCCTATTTTTTTTTGTATTTCTGATTTAAAAACCTAATGCTTTTATTGCTTTTTTAGTTATGTGTAAAAAATGGTTATTGAACTTCAAATTACCTCATATTCACGATTTAATGTGACATCACAGGTCTTATTTCTAATGTAAAACATTAAGAGGCTATGGATCCTTACAACTTAAAATATACATACGTTTGTAAGTGTTAAATAGACGGATAAAAAGTGTTGATTTTTATTTACAACTATAATAAGACCCCATTAGAAAGATTAAGAGCAATAGAACATTTCAACAAATTTCTATAGGTACACATATTTTTGATACCTGATAATCAATAAATAATATATTTTTTGGAGTAGCAACAGGTTTATTAATACACAACTATTATTTTGTTACAAATACTTATAATATTTATAATTAACATAATAGTTGATATAAGTCCTTTAAAAATAATATATTTTGATTTAATTGTTGAATTTATACATGAGAAATTTTCCTTGTAGGGTTGTTTACATTTTGCAGAGAAATATTGTATTCTGCTTTTAGCTGATAAATCATGTAAATGGGTTGAATGTAGACAATGTTAATGTTTTTGCTACTACTGCTGGCTAGGAATGCTGGGCTGGAACACCAACAAAAAAAAGGAAGCACAAAGCACTTGATGTTTTTATCACTTATACACGTACAATTTACAACCATTCAAGTAACTAGCATGTTGGAAATACTTCACGAAAACATAAATCAGTCGAAGGCAATGTATTTTCTTTTTATACCACACCTTTTTAGCTTGATTACTTTTAGTACTCTATTTATTCCAATGTCCTCAAATAAAACGAGCAATAATAAGGATAAAACACACACTGAAGTGTATTTGGGGTATTTTTGATCTAAATCCACTATCAAAATAACAAATTTTCCATTTTTAAGCTGTGAATGTATTACAAAAACTACTTCGATAAAATGTAAACAAAAGTTTATATTTGTGTACGAAATATGGGTTTCCTGCGCATGGTAGCGAGTTTTTAAGCGGATTTATGACAAGTGATAGGTTATATCCCGAAAACGTCAGCGCAGTAAAAGCTGCGCGTCTTTTTCCCGCCCAGGGAGTGTCATGGGCCTGATAACACAATCATGAACTCAAAATTTAAAATTTAAATTCAGGATTCTTCGATATACATAAAACTGACATTTATATTTGCAAACTGTCCACTGCTGTCCCAAAGAAGTAGAGAGGGTAGAACGACAAGATACCGTCTGCGCATCCATCACGAGTGTAGAAATTATGCGTGATTCAGCCTTCCACTCTTACACACGTAAATGACAAGGAGAGGTTGCCCTAAAGCACTGTAAACAAATTCCAGGATCGACTTTAGGTAAAGTTGTAGGAAAGGTATGTACTTAACGCGCATCCTGGCCGCGCATATGTAAACATCGTTATATTTATCGCGTATTTGTTTATATTTATTGATTTATTTATATGTTATTTTACTTAGATATTATTTATTAATAATATAAAAGTAGCAATCTGATAACGTTTATACAGTTATAATGTGTAAAAAAAACAATAATTTTATATGCGCGGCCAGGATGCGATTTAGTATTAAATTATACTTGTTAATTATTTTTCGATGCACTATTTTATAATTGTTGCACAAAATGTTGTTAAACCGTCCCTGAATCTTGTTTACAAAATGTGCAAAACGAAATTGTGCATAGTGTCCAGACTTTTTTATTGACAGTTATCATTCTACCCCTCTCCACTTCATTGTGCTGTCCACGTCTACTGTCTGTCTCAGTGTTGCCAACCGTACTATTTAAATCGTATTTATACGATTTTTTAACTCTCTGTACGATGTATGATTGCATCAGTGAGATCGTACGTAAAAAATACGATCTTCACTTTTTTAGTAGGTTTATTTAAATATCTGCAACAACTTCAGAACATAAAACAATAAAAATCAAAAACTACTTGCAAAGAGATTTATAGGCCGTTCGTAATTTCTAAAGACAGTATTTTTGTTCTGACTTATCGTGATTTTGACCATGGTGATTTTGTACACCGGCTATCACGGGGCATAAGAAAAGCTTGCATACAAAATTTCAATCACTTTCGAGTGACAGTCATTGATTACTTTAAATGTGTTACTTTAAAGTTTCATGTATTTTCTTTAGTTTTTGTTTCGTTGTAAACATTTTTATAAATAGATAAATAAATTATCATACCATTTTTTTTTTTTATTTTTTCATTCCATTTAAGTTATATTATGCTATGCATGTATCTATTGTTCATTTTTTTTTGTTGAAATACCATTTTTCTACTCTACTTGTACGATTTCTCAAAAAAAAAATTGGCAACACTGGTCTCTCTACAAACGACGTAGACCTGTAGTTAACATCTGAGACGCCAGATGACGCCACCGTTGCTGCGGTCGTTGCGTTTCCAATCTTTATGTCCCTAATCTCTGGACCTGTTATCATTAACAGAGTCAATGATACATATAAAGTTATATAGATTGCTCAAAGCGGGTCGTTTGCGAGCGGCCATATTGCCTGGCAAGTGTTCATTAATTTAAATCGGTTTAGCAAAAATTTGTTTTAAAACAAATTTTAAGCCTTTTAATATAGTAAAAAAAAATAAAATAATTATCAACACTTTTACTTCAAGGCATAAGCTTGTCTATTTTAAAAAAGATGGATGATCAATCTATGTAACATTGGTAATTTACAAAAGGAAGTCTCTGCTTTCTTTTCTAAAAATTTTTTCTTACACCTTAATTTATATTTTTTTCTTGTAGTTCTTAGATTTTTAGGTGTTAGTGGAAAATGAAACTCGTGTGTGGTTAAAGCTTTCGGCACTGATCAGTGCCTTCTTCAGTAGTTTTTTTATTGGTAAAATATTTTTTTTTGTCATTAAAACTTTGTTTTTTTTAAACTCATATTGTTTGTGTTTTTTAGTTTTACTATTTGTTTTTTGTGTAGGTTCTATATATGTTTTTAAATTTCGATTTTACTCAGACTTGCTACAAACATTTTAAATTAATGTAATGTAGTTAAATAAATAAATCTTAATCATCCATGCTAAAATAAGACTTATTTCAAAGCTGAAGTTTTGACATTAGAGTCGTTGCCCTTATACATATTTCTAACCTCATTTTTTAAAAATTTTAAATTATAGTTCGTCTTTTTTGTTGTCTATAATAGTACATAATATGGAAGAGGCATTAGAAATTACCATTTTAGAAGGTTTAGATGACAATGATATTAAATATTTAATATTAAAAAACCTCAAGCTGATAAGAGCTCACCCGAAAGCTATAAAGTCGCCACTATCTGCTGCCCTTAAACATCCACAATTAAGGACAGATACACTCTTTAATAAAGTCAGTTCTAGAATGTAAACGATCTGCACATACTCAGATGTCAAAATAAGAGCGGCGCTAATAGTGACTGACCTTAAGTGAACTTGCAATATCTCTCTATCATTAGAGAATAAACGGAACAAATAAAATTAGTACTTACTTTAACGGTGACCTCCTCGGCTGCGCAATGAATATGCATGACCGCACTGTATCCCGCGCATATAATGGACCTATGTTCTAAAATAACCAACTGAGCATCAAAAATTTTGCCAGTATGTATTGGGTTGACAGAATCGCATAATACGAATCCTGGACTAACATCCTCTTCTTCTACACCTTTAACTTTAATTTTCACGTTTTCTCCAGGAACTACTCTACTAACTTCATCATCATCGGATAGCAACTGATCTACGGTAACGGGCGTCTAAAATTAAAATTACATTTTAAAGAACTGACTGAAATTCGGTAGTAGAACAGGTAGTAGAAAAATGTCAGGAATGTGTAATAGAAATAGAGTTGCCAATTGCCATAATACATTGAAAGAAAAATTCTTTTAATTACACAAATTATGCAAATAAAATGTTTAAAATACATAATTGTTTTGTAACACTATAATAAATTTTTATTTATTTGATTTATTTAATTAGTCATATAAGCCCTTTTACAATATATACAAATTTCTTATAAATTTACAACATGAAATAACATAATTGTTTTGAGTGCAAAGACTGTTTTGCTTAATTTTTTACAGATGTAATCAATATGTGAGGAGAAATTTAGATTGCTGTCTATACTGACTCCTAATATTAGCTGGGCTTATGGTACTATTTATTGCAAAGTGAAAATTTGAGTATGAGATTCGATATATGGTTTTATCATAATTTAGTATTAAATTGTTTTTGTGACACCAATCACAGTATGTTTTAAATAGACAAGACACTTTCACAGATACTTCTTTTTCCAAAAGCAGTGATATTGTTCAGTTTTACTTCCGTTATAAACTCCTCTAATTCGTTTACAAATAATAATAATAATAATATCAGAGGGCCAAGGACACTTCATTGGGGAGTACCCCAGTCTATGTTAAATATATCTGATTTGCTATCCTCGACTTTTATTCGAATTCTACTGTTTGATAGGTAAGATTTAAACCACTGATATTACTCTTCTTATTCCCAAAACATGTAATTTGTCTGAACCAAATTTTATATCAAGCATGTCAAACGCCTTTGACAAGTCGAAAAAATAGTAACTACATAATTATCATCCAGTAAGTTATAGATGTTCCGTGTATGTTCTATAAGTGCAGTTTCTGTTAAGTGGCCTTTCCTAAACCTATGTCGCTGACATTTTTTTTCTCTACAGCTTTTTCAATTATTTTGGAAAAGTTCTGTGTGTATCCTTTCTTATGTATTGGTAAGATTGCTTTAATGCATCGGGAAATTCTCCTTTACATACGGAATATTTTATTAATTGTGTTAATAGTGTTAGGATTATATCAATGCATTTTTTATGACATGCATGGAGATTTCGTCATTTCCACAAGACTTTTATACTTTGAATGTCTTTGATAATGATTTCAATATCATGTTCATATGGAGCTATAAAAAATGAGATCAGGTTAAAGTTTGTTCTTTAAGTTTATTTTCAACAATATTCAGATTCATTAGAAACCTTATAGTTTTCTGAGATTTTGATATTATTTGTAAGTTGTTTAATTTTTTTGTATACCTGTTTTTCTAATTCCATATTTACTAATCTCCAAGTGGTTTTGGATTTATTATCCGACTGTTCTATAATATTTTTGGTGTATGCCTATGAAATTACTTCCTTTTTTATGTACTATATAAATTGTCAAGAATTAGTTCTTTATTTAGTTCATTAGAAAATTTGATTTTGTTTGAAATAATTAAATAGTTTTTTAGAAAATTCAGTTTCATAACACCATTTAAAAGAATCAAAGAAATTATTGGAAACGTCATTAATGCTATTTGTGTTAAATTAGATATCCATATCGTTAACTGCATTATTGTTATATATATTTAAAAATCTATATTTGAAATTTTAGATTTTATTTTCATTTATGGTTCTATCTTCAAATGTGAATGTATTATTTATCACTGTTACATTGGATGTATTAAATTCCAATATTTGGGATCACATAAAATTCTATAATTTCTAGATTATGTTTTGTCTGTGTTAAAATCTCCACATATTACAACTGCTGCCGGCGTCATTTTGTATACGTGTATGAAGATAGATGACAGAAGATGATAGATGAAGAATTTTTCTTTTCATTACTTTTTTAAAGTGAATATTTTACATTATATGCTCTACTGAACATTTTGAAAAGTGAGATACGTCGTTGTTTATTGGGAAGTCGATGTATGATTTCAAAGTCGAGAACAATAAAAAATGTCATAACGGGCATTTTCTGTCATCCGGATTTATTACCTCCAGTGAATGGTATTATTTTGTGCAACAAAATCCGGGATATGGGTTAAACGTTAAATTAACATTTTTTTTTGTGTCGGCGAAAGAGTCGATATGACGAATTTCATTGAAAAAGTAAATATCGGGTTACATGGTCGGAATTCCTACTAAAAGTAGCAAAACTTGATGAAAAAAAAAAAAAAAAAAAAAAAAAAAATACATTTTTTATTGTTCTTGATGTCTGGAAGCATATATTTCGCAACTTTATTTTGAAATTCACATGACCGCTCCCACCGCCGTGACATAGTCCAACTTGTTTACACCTCTTCCCCTGCATCCAAATACAAAGAGCGTACAAAAAAGCACCATGCCACTTTATGTAGACTCTGGATTTCAACTTGCAACGATAACTCTGAACAGCAATGGAAAAGTTGTGCACAAAAGAAGCCAATCACGGAAAAGAATAAATATACAAAGGATTATTCTTTGTAAATAGTAAAAAACCTAAAAGAACATTATCAAATAAGAGCTATTTGTCTCTGACTCATCTCATTAACATTAAAAACCAAACAAGATTATTTTCAACTTTTTAAAGCTAGTAAATCGATTGGTAAAACTTACCCTGTTGGGCATGATAAGCATTATTTGGCCCTTTTTGCACTCTCCAGATTCAACTTTTCCCATCAACACTGTACCCATGTCCTTATATTTATCTACAATAGGCATAATAAAAGGTCCATCTGCTTTTCTCGTTAGCGACGGTAAACTATCTATAAAAGGTATAAATGCTTCTCCCCTGTACCAAGGACAAATCGCTTCGTCTACTTTATCCTTCAAGCCTTGGCCCATCTGACCTGAACAAGGTAAAAAGTATAGATCTTTGTTTAAAATAAAGCCTAGTTTTTTAAGATAAGGAAGAATTTTATCTTTGCACTCGTTGTATCTGAAAAAAAAAAAAAAAAACAAATAAAAATAAAACATAGAAAAATGACGTTATCTTGTAAGCTGAAACCACTTGCTGTTTAAACTGTTTTTATAATAAAAACTTGATGTATTTGATTTCGAGCTTATTATGTACTAATGAAAAGAGAAAAATCAGAGGTTATTGTCGATTACAATACATTCCAAACAAACATTGACCTTTCAGATCACCTAAAAACCTATTCACATTGTCTCAGAAGGGTACAGGAAATATACTATTGAACTTATTTTTGGCTCAGCACTGGTCAATTAATTCTTTATGTACAAAGAGGCAAACCAGGAAAAAATACAGATAACTAAATTCAGGGAGAATTTGGCATTGGCACTCTTGAGCTTTAGTGAAAATAACAAAGAAAATTGCACAGTTGAACCCCAAAATGAGGTATCCCATGAACTTCGGGAACATGCTAAAAATCGGTATGTTGTATGTTATACTAAAAATGAAGAGCAATATGGGAGAGTTGCAGCACAGAACAAAATGGCACTGCATTTCATGCAAAAAAAGTTATTGCTTTTATTGTTTTTACAGAACATCAAACAGAAAAATTATAAAAATATCATAATATTGGTTATTTTTTATGTTAAATTAAATGCATTTATTTAGATTAGTTTTTTATAGCATGTTTCTTCTTCTTAAATGAATGTATCAGTTCTCAGTTGTGAGTATTCTGTAACGTTTTATAATTTAAAACGACTACTCAAAAAAAGTTTTTAATGTATTTAAAAAAATATGAATGAATCTATATTTACATGTAAATATTTATCAATAGGATATATTCTGTAAAATTTGATTAAAATTAACCCTGGGTTATAAAAATAAACGGATATTCTTTTTAATTTTGTATTGTGTATTATTTAGTTAAAATTATAACTTGTCAGTATTAAATCTAGTAATGACTACATGTCAAATATATTCTTCTTCCTTTTTTTAATGCTTAATTTGAATTCACTTTTAAGTATATTACATCTTTGGCAAGTCTATTTTAACTGTGATTGGTTAAATAGTTAATAACACACAATGAAATTGATGGAATATTGAATAGATTTGGGTTGAAATTTAAATATCATAGTTACAAATAACCTTTTAACCTGGCAGTTAAAATTAACCAAAACATTACAGAATAGACCCCATTTACTGAAATAAGAAAAATGTGGAGAATTCCCCACATTACATTATGGTTCTGAAACAATATGAAAAATGTAAATCTAAAATATATCAGTTGTCTAATCTATATTTGTCTAATTTAAATCTTCATATTTTTGTGACAAACTGCAAGAACAAAAAACATATACCATGAGAGGATTGAGGCTTACCCCCTTGTCAGCTGTTATTTATAAAAAATAGAGAAAAACGCTTAATTTTTAATCTCATTAAAGTATCCAACAATTTAATTTACAATTTTTAGAATTTACAACTTAAACTTTAAGATTATCAAAATTTCGGAATTTTTATGAACCCCTTAGTTTCGGTATTCCTATGAACCCCCTTCAGATGACAGTCGCGCCCTCAATTTTTTTATATAGCCATACTTCATTGAGAAGGTAATTTTATAGTAAATACAGCAATGACTGTTCATTGCGTTACTTTAATTTTCGTGCCCTCCAGTGGGATAAAAAACTTTTACTTCATTTGAAAGCTATTTTTATTAAAAATCCAATGCACCACATAACAATATCCTAAATATCTCCATATAACACTAGAAACAAAATAACTTAGTAATAATGCAATCCTTTTTTATTGTAAGTTCAATTTTTATTTACGAAATATTATGTAGTTCATTGAATTACCAATAAAATTAGCTTTCAAATGAAGTGTTACACTTTACTACAAATAAGTTTGTGGCCAGTTAGGGGGCGCTAAAATAAAAAGTAACGCAATGTACATTCAAATTTCTGAATTCCCAATAAAATTACATTTTCAATGAAGTGTCTAGGACCCTACCTGCTATTAAAAAAAACGAGGAGTTGGCTATCTTATCTTTATCAATGTCGGTTATAGGCAGGTAATGTTAGATTTAGCCCAGAACACAGCTGCCAGTTGTATCCGAAAATGAAAAGGACGAGTTGCCTCCTAGAAAGAGCTTTGCATTCAAAGATAACATGGTATGGTTTTTTCCTCTTCCATGCAGAGTCTACACATGGAGATATAATTGTGTAATCCCATCACATAAGGATGTTTCAGGAAGCAGTTGCCCCTTAGTAATCCCACAATGGTGACTATATAGGGCTTTGCAAGCTGTAGCACCTCAGCAACCATGAGTGGGTTTGGTCCCCTTAGCATGAGCTTACTGATTCTGTGTCCTCTTATCTGTTGACAGTGAGTTTGGTGTTTAGTTGTTCACTGCCTGTTGAAGAGGTTTTGCTTATCCCAAACAACAGGTTTGGGTCCTGTGAATGTTAATTCTAATACCTCTTTGGCAAGTTCATCAGCCTTTATACTTCTTTGGGTAACTTTATATTCTGGTACCCACTATAGTTTTACCTTATTGTGATTTGCCAGATCATCAAGTAATGCAAGAGTTCCAGACCATCTTAGACTTTATTCTGTTTGAACAAAGGACCTTTAAGACTGCTTGGCTGTCTGAGAGAATTAAGATGGTTTATTTTCTGTACTTCCTTCTTAAATTATATTTGTATACACAACTCGATTGCATATATGGTGGTATGTTTTCCCAGTGAGATGGTCATGTCACATTTGAATTTAATTCCATGTACACCAGAGCCTGTTCCCTTGTTAGTTTTAGGTTGCCTGTCACCTGAAAAGGGTTCATAAGACAACCGAAACTTTGATATCATCAGATACTTTGATCATTGGACTATTGGGACTGAATACACAGTTCAATAAAGAATAATGAATAATAAAAAAAAAGAAATAAAAATGTATAAATAGAAATAAATGCAAACTTACCTAGCTTCATCCCAATTTACAGTAGGATCATCCATTTTATTAACAAGCACCACAAGATATTTGACTCCAGCAGTTTTAGCCAACATGGCGTGTTCCCTGGTCTGGCCACCTCTATCAAATCCAGTTTCAAATTCACCTTTCCTAGCTGAAATAACAAGCACAGCGAGATCTGCCTGTGCAGCTCCACCAATCATATTGGGTACAAAACTTTTGTGACCAGGAGCATCCAAAATAGTGAAATGTTTTTTCTCAGTTTCGAAAAAGGCACGTCCTACTTCCACAGTTTTTCCCTTGTCTCGTTCTATATTACATAAAAATAAAAGATGTTCAATTTGACAAAAAAAAAAAACATGAAATTTGTTTTATAAAAATTGGTTTTGCATAGGTACTTGACAGAAACATTTACCAGTTCTTGAGATCATAATATTGAGGTTACACTCACACACATATTATTATCAATATACAGATATGCTCAGTTTTACTAATTATAGGCATATTTATTTGTATCTCTCATACACTTCACTGCACATAAACAACAAAATTTAGGATCACTCAGAGGTGTAGATATTCCCTATGATCAGTAAAACAGTGAACAAATCTGTACATACAAATAATTGTTAAGTTTTCAAATGCTAACTTTTATAGAGATATCTAGCAAAAAAAGCAGATGATGTAAACATTAATTGAGAACAACCTAAAGATAAATTATCTGAGACAAGTGGGCATATTTACTTTAAATTTGGTTTTTTAGGCACCACTCAGACCATTTTTCTTTCAATCAAAACCAATAACAAGAAATTCTGAAAGAATGTTGTTTGGAAAAAACACATGTGATAATTGAGCATATTCTATAAATTTTTTGTTAATATGATAGTTTTTCAGTCATCAAAGAAACAAAGGAGTGGTGACGGTATCTCCTAGGACATTAAATCCAGAAAGCAAACTGAGGGACATAGTAATCTACCGCACCATAGTACAAAACCCAACCTAATCTAAAGAACAAGGGGTCTAGCTCAAGATTTTGAGATGGACCATGTGAGGGTTGCAACGAATTAGAAAAAATTAATATTTAAGTTTCAAAAGACTTTCGGAATTATATCTATTGCTGGATTTTGCAATTCTTGGCAATTTTTATTCATTCACCATGAGATCATGACTTTATAGTCTCTCTTTTAGATAATTTAATTGAAATGCATAAATTGATTCAAAAACTATAAATATAGTCAAATATACATTTGGCAAGTAAAAATAAAAGAAATCCTTTAACTTTATATTGTTCTTCAAAAGAAAATAAAAAGCAAAAATCTTTGTTTTAAGAAAACTTTTCAGTTCAAAAGCTTTTATTGTTCTTCAAAAGAAAATAAAAAGCATACATCTTTGTTTTAAGAAAACTTTTTAGTTCAAAAGCTTTTATTCATTGGAAAAGTGGACCCTCTTTTAACACCCCATTCTCAACATAACGTAACTGAAACAAACTCATCTACTTGTGTCATTTTATTAATAACTCATATTTTGTTTTCTATATTTTATGCTATGTATGTACATATTTTTTGTATTAGGGCAAAATGGGCAAACACCAGATTTGTGGCTTTATTGGACAAGCAACAAAAACATGCTCGGGCGGGTCGATTTTGTATTTTAATGGACATATTTTTATGATATTCACTTTTTTTTAACAGCCACACTCTTTGTCGATGACATCAGAATAGTTATGACGATATAGATTGTAAGATCCCATCATTAAATATTTAAATAAAAACTGATAAGGTATAGAATTGTATAATTAGAAATACACTGTACATGACAAGTAAAAAGGTATATGACAATATGTAAAAAATAATAATTATGTTGCTGAGCAACCAAGGTTGCCAAAGAGGCGAATTTATTCCTGTAGTAGGGCTGCCACATAATTCAAGGATATCTAAAGGGCGATAGTGCATAGATGTCCTTTATCATGTGGCCAATTTGGTCTTGTATCATGTAGAAATCTGGCTGCATCTAAAAACAAAATCGATCGTCTGGACATTTTTTGTTACTTTTCCAATAAAGTCAGAAATATGATGTTCTGTCCATTTTGTCCAACCCAGTATATATAAAATAGTTCTCAAAAAAAAAATCTAAGGTAGGCATTGGAAGAATTGACGCTTTATTTTTAAACGACAATTTGGATTTAATTCAGACCCTTGCATAGACATGACTTATCTCTCTTTGTGGGTCAAGACCTATTTTTGAAATATTTGTAGATCAATCTTTACTATTTTTAATTCAAGCAATCCAAACAAATGATATCTGAAAATTTGAACTGATAATTTTTAGTTAGGAATTAGTAATACTTTCAAACATCTTGGGTTAAGATTTAACAAATTTTAATGGATAATAATAGCTAACATCAAAATTAACAATAAAAAATTCAATTGTTTTCCAGTTAAATGCAAAAAATGTACCAGGAATTTTGAATAAATCTGACAATGGCTGAAATTGCGAGGACTATTTAAGCAAACTGTGAATATTTTAACATTTATTCTTAATAACAAAATGAAACTTAAAAAAAGAGCTCTGTCTGATCCCATAGAAGATTCTTCTGGTGTATCGCAAGGGGCCCACTTAGCTCCATTACTTTTTAATTTAATCATTAATGATGCTGGATCTGTTTTTGAATACAGTAATTATCTGTCAAATAGTGTATTTGAAATTGAACTTCACCTCACTAATTATGCTTATCATGCGCCCCCCCCCCCCCCCCCCCTTACCTAGACCAATGAGACTGGCTAATCAATACAATTTAGTTATCACTGGGTGTTCAATTCGTCAACTTCAGAATGATGTAAAGATAATATATTTTTAATATCTTTATTATATTTAATTTCATATATTTAATGTTAGATTTTTTGTACCTACCTTTTATAACGTATTTAAGCTATTTTATGTAATTTATGTATAGTAATGGATCTTTCCAAAATATATATTTATTTATTTTAATAATTAAATAATTATTATAAAGTAAGAAACGTATCACTCTGTATATAGATTATTGTAAGCTGAGATAATTGATAGGCAAAATACTTCTTACCTTCCTGATTAGTATCCAAAGCCCAGCTCAAGTACCAACTCTCTCTACTCTTCTCTTTTGCTTCCCTTTCATATTTCTCTAAAGTTCTCTTATCTACCATCCCCGTCAAGGCCATGATTTGTCCTCCAATAGTACTTTTTCCCGCATCTACGTGACCAATAAAAACAACGTTCACATGTTCCTTTTTTTCTTCCTCGGGCTTTTCTTTTACAGTAATCTTCTTTTTTATTTTGATTGGTGCTTCTTCAGAAGAAGGTTCCTCGTCTTCATCTCCTTCTGGGGTAGTTGCAGGTGGAGCAGACGCAGAAGTGCTGTCTTCATCGGCGACATCTTCCCAAGTACCCCCTTCTCCTCCAGGGGATGCATCACCATCAGCTGGAGGAATGGGTGGAGGTTCTTTAACCTCTACACGTTCTGCCATCGAATCTCCTACATTTCCTGTAATAATAAAATGGAGATGAAAAACAACAAATATTTATTTCCCAAGTGCTGTAGACAATGCAATCTTTGGAGCCAATGTCAAGATGATTTTTGTGATGTATTTGAATTTAAAAAATACAATATTTATTTATTATATATGAACAGTACCCAATATCTTTACACTTTGGATAAAATATACAAACTTAAAACTAACAAAGATTTTTTAACAAAAAAATCTATTGTTGAAGACATCACATTCATTGATCTGATCAAATATGTGTTTTCTGTGTAGTTGGTAAATAGAAAAGTTCGTTGCTCTAGTTGATTTGAAGGGAATTTTGAATTGCAACTTGTGTAGAAGGTTAGATAATTTTTTTTGTAAAATTTAGAATATCATACAGGAACATGAGATATTTTGTGGCTCTCCTTAGGCGTTTTCGGAAACCTTCTATAAATAACAAATCCAGATTACTGGGTTTACCCAATGGATCACTTAACTCAGTGCCGAGAGTTTACAAACGAGTTGGATTATAGTTCCTGTTTATCTACGTCTGTAAATATTTGACTTTTGCCCCTTATTTGTCAATGAACCATTTTAATTAAACATATTTGTACTCTGACTAATAAAGTCGCAATATGGGCATAAAGATTGCAAGTTATAACTAATTGAATGTAGAAAAAACTTCAAACCTACTACTGGCAGACACCAAACACCAAAATATTGCGCTATCCCTTTATAAAATACTGCTCTGCGCATGCGGATCTATTACTAATCTACTAATAGAGTGGGTCACAAAATATTGATCTTGATCAAAGCTGGATCAGTAATCTACTAGTTTCCAAACACGGATAGGGTAAGTAACCATAGGTAAACAAACAATAGGATCCATAATCTTCCTGATCTGAGTATGTTTCTGAAAACGCCTCTTGTTGAGATTATAGTTTAACTTGTTTGAAACATATCGCAAAAATTTGTGTTGAACTTGCTCCAATTTGTTGATATGTATATTATAGCAAGGTGGCCATAGACAAGATGCATATTCAAGGTGTGGTCTAACTAATGATACATACAAAAGTTTTATTGCAGATATATTTGAGAAGTCTTGTGTATTACATTTAAAGAAACCAAGCATTTTAAGAGATTTGCTTATCGCTGAGTTGATGAGGGGGAATGAAGTTAAGTGATTTATCAAAGGTCACACCTAGATCCTTTATAGTTTCAACTTTCTACAGATGAATATCATTTATACATTACATATATTACACCACATAACAAGACATTTTAAGTCCTCTTGTAGATTTAGACTATTACTAGCGCTTTGAATAGTTTTATAAAATTTTAAATCATCTGTAATAACTTTGAATGGGAGAAGCACTCCTCTGTCATTAATAAACAGGTTAAAGAGGATTGGCCCTAAGTGTGATCCTTGAGGGACACCTGATGTTACCTTTATCTCTATAGATTTAAAATTAGCTCTCCTAATAATTGCGTTCTACCAGTAAGAAAAGTCCTCATCCAACTAAGGAAAAAACCACTTATGCCTAGAGTCTTAAGTTTGTTTATCAAAGCTTCATGATTAGCATGATTGAATGCCTTAGAGAAATCCATATAGATTGCATCTACCTGAAATCGATTTTCCAAGGAATTAGATAGATAATCGTGGCGAGTAGATTAAGCTCAGTGGATTTGGAAGCCTGAAAACCATATTGTTGGTCAATTAAAACATTTTTAAATGAAGGGGTAAGAATGTCACAAATACAACTCTCAAAAAGTTTGGGTACAGAAGATGTTAACTCGTCGATAGTTAGACATTAGACGTATCTCCACTTTTAGAGATGGGAGTTATATAGCATATTTTCCAAGTATTAGGAAAAATGCCAGTACTCAAGGACTCGTTGAATTTATGAAATAATGACCTAGCGAGATTAAAACTAATTGTTTTTTTTTTTAATGGGTGGAAGAGAGTCCCAGGTCCCTTAGTTATATTGAGGTTGATTAATTCAAATAAATATCTGATATTGAAATTCGCTGACTAAAGAGGTTGATATTACCAGTATCATAGAGAGAACAATAAAGCATTTCAAAAGTCCTATCAGAATATATCGATACAAAATACTCGGCAAAGATGTTTACTATATCATTACCTATATATACCTATATTCTTGTGAATACAAATTTTTCTATTATATTTTTAATCATCTATTATAATAAAAAATTAAAATGTGGTAAAATGTTTTAGGCTGGCCACATACATCAAATTTTTGCTCTGATAAAGAGATGGGACAATCTGATAGCAACAGATTGCTGTTGCACACATCCAATGACAAAAAACTATTGGACTAATCCATTTATTCATAATTAAGCCCCTATTTATTACAAATATTCAGATTGTGTTTTATGTTAGGCAGACAGAGCTGTCACACTAGAAAGCGTGAGACGCCTCCTAAATTGAGTGGGGAGGGTTTGTGCAAGCTTGTTTATCTGAGGTGCGAGCACACATTTTATAGTCCAGGAGCCACCGCCTGTTTTTTAGTGATTAATAACAGGTTGAATCTTCATGAGTAGGTTTCATTCGACAAAACATCAAAGTTTTTCCTCGGTGAAAATTCTTGATACAGGTAGCTAATGAAGTTGCAGCTGTAAAACATGTCGATTTAGTGGGGTGTTGAAATTGTCTGGCCAACAGTAAGTTTTTTATTGAAATGTTAAGATAATTGTATTATAAACGCAGAAGAACAATTATCTTACAAAATGGATGGAATGTTGGAGCGCTCTCCACTCTGAATATGTCAAAATAACAAGTTCATAAAAATTATTAATAACTAGCTGATTTTTTTGTATGCAGCTTTGTAAATATTTGTACAATGTAATGGCCATATAGTCATTCAAATTTACGATTTCCCAGTCCGACGCTCGGAAGTTGTCGATTCCACAGTAACACTTTTTTCATTTATTTTTTGCTATTGGGAATAAAGTGTAAAACACTATTTTACCACTGTTCTACACAAAAAGTGGTATGTTTTTCAGGGAATAGATATAGTTTGTTCACATATTTAACTGAATATTTTGATACACAGTTAAATGTGTAACGAATCCCGAGTAAATCACATCAAAATTACTGGAAAAACTAAAGAAGTTAAGATTCAGAGAGACATTTTTGATCGTCTACTGTACACGCTTATAAAAAAATAAAATTGACATAGACAAAGCACCGAGTTATCCCTGGCTCAAATTTCGTTTTCGTTTTGTCATAACGATGGAAGAATTTGCAAGACCACAAAATCTTTGATCATTAACGAATTAGTGAAACATTAGGCTGAAGTCGTAGATCCTCCGGAAGCAGACATTCACTATTTCTTACATACATTGAAGAACCTTCAAGAAAGTTATGATAAATCTAGCAACATATGTTGAAAATAATCACATATAATCGAAAAGAAGTGCATATTATATTCGACAAGTATGAAACACCCAGCATTAAAGACTATGAGCATGACCTGAGAGGTGAAGACAACGTGCAGTATGACATTTGCAAAGAAAATAAACGTCCTCGAAATTGTTGAGAAGTAGACATTTCAAAGAAAAATTTGTAGAATTTTTGATAGAAGATTGCGAGACGAAATGGCGTTTTTAATCAGAGTAAAAACTGTCAAACTAAATTATGACAAATGTTACGTTTATGAGGTGTCCAGTGAAAACAAAATGAAAAAAGTGATCGACAACAATCTCATGTGCTAGCACAGGGAAGCTGACACATATGGTATCTCAGCCAAAAAACGTGACTTATGATTTTTCTCCACTAGTAAAAGTAAATCATGCATCCATAGAACAGGTGGATCATTTTAAGTATCTGGGTGTGACTGTCGACCAGAAATTTACTTGGGAAATGCACACACAAAATCTAGTTAACAAAATTAGTGGTTTATGCTACGTAATACGACGGCTTCGAGGAACAGTTTCACTTAGCGTACTTAGACTGACTTACTTTGGTCTTGTTCAGTCTCTCCTATCGTACGGCCTTGCCTGTTGGGGAAGCTCAGTACACATGAACAAGGTGTTCATTATGCAGAAAAAGATAATCCGATGTATCGTAGGATTGGCCCCAAGGGATTCATGTAAAACTTTTTTCGTTTCTCTGTCAATCTTAACTTTACCTTGTCTATACATATACACCATATCAACTAACATTAAAAGAAATGAAGAAACGCATCTAAAAAACAATATGATCCATACACACAACACCCGACGGGCTGATGAGTTGCGACTGCCATTCTCCCGATTATCTGTGGGGCAGGGTTCCTTAAGTTACCAGGGAATCTTATGCTACAATAAGACTCTTAGACTTTTTGGACATATACAGAATTTTAATAGTTTTAAAAATACTCTATACAAGTTTCTCATGGAGAATGCTTTTTACTCTATTCAAGAATACTTAGAATTTTAGCTTCTTTAATTTTAATCTTTTGAAATAATTTTTAAATAATATAATTTTTTTTTGTATGTGACGTGCTGATCTCTTGATCTTAAATATTGTAAACTAGTTATTTTAAATATTGTATAGTGTCATGGATTTATTTTATCTCTGTGTATAGTGTACTATCTCTTTTGTTGACAAGTCTGACACGCTTTATGTATGTCATGTTTCATGAATATGTAATTCTTTATAGACGAATAAATTATTTCTATTTCTATGTCAGTTCAACAGGAGTTATCTAGTGCAGGTACATTGTACAGATTCGGATATACCCGTGATAATGTTGGCAAATTTCAAATATTTGAATAAAAAAATTGGAATAGTTGATCTAAGCACGAAAAAAAATTGTATCTGGACATTAAAGCAATTCATGCCAAGCTTTAATTATTTGAAATGACAGGCATCGTTATTGTATAAAGGTTTCCAAGAATATAATGAACTCTGCCCAGGGGCTTGAAGGATTGACATTGACAACTTTTATTAAAACTGATAAAATTTGATTTTAACTTTTATATATTTGATTATTACTTTTTTATTCTTCTTTTTTAATATTTGGGTTCATGCTTTCAACTGTTATTTGTTTTATTGTTAATTAAGGCTGTCTAAACTCAAGATTAAAAGTATCTTTGTAATGTGTAATAAATTTATTTATCTTAAATCAGATTATGTTAATGTTAATAATAATTATCTTTAAGTTTTAAGTGTACTGTATTTTTGTATTTCTATAATATTTTTTTTGTATATTAGGTTTATCCTACTTCAATAAATATCTATCTATCTAGTACTACAACCCTGCGTTCTACCGGAAAGGAAAAAAGAGACCTTTCGATATTCCGAAAAAAAAAAAAAAAAAAAAGAAATGTCAAGAAGATTTTTTACAACTGCACAGCGAGCGTGTCTAGTTAGCAGAATCGAGTAAGGTATTCCGGGTTCTTGGAAGAGTACATGTGCAGATTATATGCTTTAAAAACTAAAAATAATATTAACAAAGGAAGGTACGAGTTGTTTGAAAAAAGTTACAAAGGCAACAACCAAGACGAGAAGATTGTAACAACATGTCGTCGGATATGCTCCCTCGGTACTGTCACCAACTAAACAAGAGCTATTGCAGCAGATGAAATGAACGTCTTACATCTGCAGTGTATGGTGTAGTGCGCACATGTGCACCCCACAAAAAATATTCCAGAAAATTGCGGGTGGGCATTAATCTCAGAATTGTCTTCTGACATTCAAGGTAAGTACTCTTTATTACTTTTCTTACAAATGGTTATTATACTGCAATTTGTTAATTTTCTTAAATATTTTAGAATTAGATGACATTAATTCTAACGATTGAGACAAAGATGAAGACGACGTGCAAGGCGAAACTGATGAAGCGTCAACATCGGAATCCGACGACGTTTAAGTTTACATTCTATTACATTTATTAGTTTTATTTTTGTAGGTCATTTACTACTACAGTGCATACAACTACAGTTACCTTATTTTAAAAAATATATTCATCATGCTTGGGACTACATGTGTCCCCAATTACCAAAACTACAACTAAGAAATAATGTTATATGTGCTACCGTAGAATCGACCACTTGCAAGCGATGGACTGAGAAATCGTACCACTAAATTTGTAGGACTATATGGCCATTTCATTATACAAATATTTACAAAACTGCATACAAAAATTCACCTAGTTATTAATAATTTTTATGACCTCATTATTTCGACATATTTGGAGTGGAGGACGCTCAAAACAAACCATCCATTTTGTAGGGCAATTGTTCTTCCGAGTTTATAATACAAACTCCACCAAATCGACGTTATACAGCTGCACACTTCATTAGCTACCTGTATCGAAATTTTTCAGAGAAAAAACTTGGGCGTCTCTTCGAACGGAATCTACTTACGAAGATTCAACCCGTTATTAATCACTGAAAAAAACAGGTGGTGGCTCCTGGACTATTATGATTGCCACACTGAAAAGTAAATGGTGAACTTTCCTGTAAATCACTTTCAGCTACAATAATCGTTGCAACCATAAAAAGGCATTGAGCAGATAATGACTGGCATTAAGAATGCAAATATACTTCCTTAATGTAATTTTAAAAGAAGCCTTCTATGCATTTTAGAGCTTATGTTAAATTAGTTCTAAATTATAACCATAAACAATCCTTGTACTCTTCCATAATAATTTGGCAACTGTGTGGATAACACCATGAATGCAATTCAGTTTTTATAAACAAAATTAGTCTAGTAGTTGTTCGTCATTGCACACATCCAATTTTATTTAACTTAGTGGTAATATTTTTTTGTGGTGTTGGTCTTGTAAGAATGACAAATTTAAATTCAATATTAATTGGAACTTCAGATAATCATTTCCTATAGTCTGATCTGAAAGTAGGATGTATTAGGCTGGCATCATCTCACTAAAATTTAACCTCAATTGATTACTCATTATGTAAACCATATTACTAGTATTTTTTGTCATTAATAAATTTTAAGGAACTAGAAGACTTCAGTCAAAGAATGAAAAATATTGTAAGTAATTTAAAAAAAGAAATTACAATAAAAGAATGGTTGTGTCCTGTTTAAATAATACAAGTATTTTATTTATCACAAGTAAATTATCAAGGTTAAATTTGCATAGATTAATTATTGTGAGATGTAAGATACCAGAAGGAACAGTATTACTAATTAATTATTAAAGATAGATACAGTTATTTATGATGAAACAATTTTTTAAAACATATCTTTATCTCTCGAAATTAAATAACAAATATGAATCATATTGTTCTCATTTTCTTGGTTGAAGCATAAGTAACTCAAAATTTGTTTCAGGATATGAAGATAATTTCAAAAACACTAGTCATTTAAGATGATAATAACCTATTTGTCTTTTGTTGTTAAAAAATCAGTTCATCACAGAAACATATGGTTTGTACTAAAGAAAATTATATCTAATTTATGAAAATCATTTTGAATTTGCTATATACCTAAATATTTTATAGAAGGAAAATTTAGTCATTAACCTACTTCTTGTGAACCCCTTATGAATTGGGGAGATTAATAAAAAAATATTTTTACTTACAAAATCACAACTATAATAAAGGTAAATATGTCAAATAAAATAGATAAAAATTGTATATATTTACACTTACTGTACATTTTTAATTATATTTTGTGAAAAATTAGAGAATATAATATATTAGCTAGATTATTTGAAAAGAACCATCTCACAGCTAGACTTTCACAACTAAAATGAGACCAATGCCAACACTGTAAATTTTCAAAATACTACCTGAATCCAGTAATAACTGGTTATGAGTATTGATAATGTGTTTTGAAAGATTGCCTTTCATTCTTTAAACAAATACTATATTTGACACATAGTGAAATAAGCTCACAAATGGGTAACATTATTTTTATCAACTTTTACTATTTTGTTCTGGTTTATACTGCATTTGGTACTACCTGACCTTATGGTATCCATTATATAAAAATCGGGTACTTATTTTACGACAGAAATAAGGTAGAATTAATATAAAAGTAACCATTTAAGTTCAAATATAAATGAAATACCATTAGGGCTCTAGGTAAGAATACCGACAAAGAGGGGATGTATAACCTATTTGTATATTAAAGATTGATAACTTACCATTGAGTAGAGGATTATGTTGGGGAGAAGAATTTGATTCTTGCGAACTTGTTGGTGATGGTTTATCAACTACTTCGGGTTCGGGTTTCGCAAATGAAAATGAAGGCACAAATTCGACAGCATTAACGTTCAACGTGGAAAAGTGAGTTGTCACATCTTCTGCAGTATGTTGTGGCGAATTATTTGTCGATGTAGAATCGGCTTGAGATTCCCAACTATCAGGAGCTGTATTATTAGACATATTGTGCACTTGGTTTTAATAAATTACTAAGGAGTTAATTAAAAAAATCTACAATAAACTTAACGTAGCTTCCTAATACCGCGTGCGTTCTTTCCAGTTACCACCTTTTCTTTAGGACAATGGCGGAACGTCAAACGTCAATGTGTCACTTTCAAGTATCACCAACTTTAAATCTGAAAGTCGCTAAATGTAGACGATAAATTTAAAATATAACAATTTTAAATTTTAACGTGTATATAATAGTAAGTATGCAAAGAATATTTGGAAAGTATAAATAGAATTATTTTGAAAACTCTCACAAATAATTTGTCTCGATACATTTAAGAACACGTTTCTTTAAAGTAGGTAGGGTAAACTCGCCAGTAAGCCGGACACTACCAGTGAACGGACAAACCACTTTTAAAATCAAATAATAACGAAACCACCTCTTTAAAACGGGCGGGAAAATAGGCGTCAGTTCCTCTATGTTATTTCCGCATACTCATATATATCTGATCGCCATAGTTCCAACCAGCACAGAAGCAATAATGGTTATAAGTTGAGTGTCTACGAAAGCGTTCTCAAAATACAAAAAAAATAGTGTCATCCTCATTGTATTAGGTAAGATAAAGCTCTTATTTCTAATATAAATGTAAGTTTTAAGTTACCGATGTCATTAACATAGTTTAAACTCAATAATAATTAATAATATTCGGTAGATAGTGATCTTTTACTGCTAGAAAATGACTGGACGGAGACTGGAATATCTTTTTGAGCAATATGCTAATATGCGGACAAGTGTCCGGATACTGGTAAATTTATTTGCAACTGTATTCATCTTTGTCCGCTTTATTTAAAATAATGTGTTCTTTCTCATCTTTTTATATTTATAGTTTCCGTGTAAACTGTGTGTAAACCAGTGGCCGGACAAATTTTTTTGACGTAAGCATGTAGAAAAACGTTTGTCCTAGGTGTCCGATTATTGGACTAATGCCATTTTTTATGAACTTCCAGTATTCGCCCAGCAAATTTTTAACTGGAGTTTCACAATGATTTGTGTTGTTTTTTTCAGTTTAATTAAAAAAATACTGGAAAAATAATGAATAAAAGTAATAAAAAATCAAGACAAAATACTTATGCCCCAGAAAACTTAATTCTTGCATGCGAGGAAATAAGAAAAGGAGGCAAATTGCGGGAAATATGTCGACTCTATGGTGTACCGAAGTCGACCGTACTGGACCGTCTTAAGGGTAGAGTTACCACAGATACGATTTCTCGCATGGGCCCAGATCCAGTACTAAGTGAAAAGTATGAAGAAAAAATAGTCCAATGGTTGACTGAGCTGGCAAAATGTGGCTTTCCTTTAAAAAAAGAGGAGTTATTAGATGTTGTTCAGAAAATTGTCATCGATGGAAATTTAAAAACTCCTTTTAAAGGTGGACGTCCGGGACAAAAATGGTTTTCCAGTTTTTTGAAACGGCATCCAACAATTAAAATGAAATCAGTAGAAGCTCTAGATTCTTCTAGAGCGAAATTAACCAAAGAATTTATAAAGAAATGGTTTAGTGATTTAAAAGATTTTTTACAAAAATCTGGAGCTGCAGACATACTGGACGACCCCAGTCGTATTTTAAATGCGGACGAGTCTGGTTTTAGTCTCTGCCCTAAAACAGGTAAAGTTTTGGGATTGAAGGGTCATAATACATACGTGGTGAAAAAAGGAAATGAGAAAGAAAACTTAACGGTGTTGGTTACATTTACTGGAGACGGAAGAATGTGTCATCCCGTTGTCGTATTCCCTTACGTACGACCTCCAAAAGCTGTTGTTGACAGCATCCCTGAACAGTGGATTTTGGGGAAATCTGAATCAGGCTGGATGCGTTCAGACGTTTTTTATGAATTCGTTGCCAATGGACTAAACTCTTGGTTAACAGAACAACGTATCAAAAAACCTGTTCTGTTTTTAGTTGACGGACACCGATCGCATTTATCTCTTGAGCTTAGCCAGTTTTGTGATGCAAATAGAATAATTCTGTATGCGTTTCCTCCAAACGCAACTCATTTAATTCAACCAGCGGATGTATCAGTCTTCAAACCGATGAAGGAATATTGGCGGCAATATGTTCGAGAGTGGCAGTTAGAACATAATAAAGTTGTAACAAAAAGTGAATTTTGCCCTATCTTTAAAAAAGCTTTGGAACATCCAAATATGGTGGTTAATATAAAAAGCGGCTTCAAAGTTTGTGGACTATATCCCTTTAACCCAGATGCGCTAGATTATAGTAAATGTGTGCAAAATGCGTTAGAAGAACTTAACGTAGACACAAACAAAATATCTAATTTCAAGGCTGACGTAACATCAAATGATATAGAAAGTGCAGAAAAAGTAATATCAGTTTTAAAAGCCGAGTTAGAAGACAATGGCGTTAATGTCGAAGTTATGCTTAACATAATAAATACTTTAAAAGCACCTAGTGAAGATATTTCCGAAACAATATTTGATGATGCTAATATAATGAACTTTGATCTGGACGTTGACGGATTACTAAAACCAGTCGAAAGTGAAAACGAAATAAAAGAAAATGTTCAGCCTCAACCCTCCACTTCAACTGATGGACTGCTACAACCAGCTGAAAGTGAAAACCGAATTATTATTTTACAAAACGAAATAATAAAAAACGCATCAAATATTCAACCTCAACCCTCCGCTTTAACTAATGGATTACTACAACCAGTCGAAAGTGAAAACCGGATTATTATTTTACAGAACGAAATAATAGAAAACGCATCAAATATTCAACCTCGACCCTCCACTTCAAATGATGAATTACTACAACCAGCCAAAAGTGAAAACAGACTTATTATTTTACCAAACGATATAATAGAAAACGCATCAAATATTCAACCTCAACTTTATTCTTCAACTGATGAAACGGTAGTTGAAATATTTCCCGAATATAAAGCAGAAACAGATAAAAGAATATATGAAACAGCTGAAGACATTACACAGAAGAAATATAAAAGTGAAGCCGAACTTGCCTTTAAAAACCACCTCCGTTTCCCAAAACCTCTTGAAAAAAAACTGAAAACCAATCGAAATAATTTTCCAAGTGCTATTTCGTCAAAGGAATGGAGGAAACATTATGACGAAAAATTAAAACAAAAAGAGGAAAAAGAAAATTCAAAAAATAAGAGGAAACGCGTAGGTAATAAAAAGAAGGAAAATTTACACAAAGAAAGTTTCAATGAAGTTAAAAATGACAATATATTAGAAGCAACAAAAGATGAAAGTGAAATATTATTGCCCAAAAATGTCAATGTGACAACTTACGAACAACAGAAATGTGGAATATGTGATGAAATATTAGACAGTGATGCCGAAGACGAAAATGAAAAAAATGTCGGATGCGATGTATGTCCGAGATGGTATCATTTGGGATGCACACACTTCCATGGCTTAAAATATTGTGAGGTGAAACATAAAGATTACATTTGCGATTTTTGTAGAAATGACTCCTAATTGCTAATTTTTATCTGTTTCGGGAAGGTTGCAATTGTTTACTTTACTTTCGATTAGTTAGAATAATTATTAAATAACTGTTATTTGCTCTTTGTTTTTTATTACCTCATGGAAAATATGTACCTAACCACAAATATAGACCTATTTTGTGTTGGTTTTGTAAAATATGTAAACTCATAGGTATAGGTAAAACGTAAACTACATAATTATGGCTGTGTGACATTTATTTTTATTACGACTCTGTTTGAAAGAACCCCTGTCCGATAACTAGTATCCGATCGGTCGACAACTAGAGAACGATGTCCGGTAACTAGGAAAAATGCATATTTTAAACAAAAAAATTGTTTTTAAAATAACCGTTAAAAATGAAAACTTTTGTTTCCGCTCAGCCACTAGAAAAAACTATAAGCTAAATCATAAATATTCGTTTTTGATATTTTCTTGACAATTGTTTTTATAATACAATTTATAAATCCATGTTTCTCTTAACTGTCCGACAACTGGCGACTTCACCCTAGGTATTTGACAATTGACATTTTAAACTTTCATGTTTTAAATCCACTTTAAATCATTTTTAAAATTATATTTCTATTATAATGAAAGGAAAGTGAGATCCGAAAAACTTAATGCAATTTTGGAAATATCTCCTAATGTCAACAAATACGTAACACGATGAGTTTAATAAAACGTGAGTCCCTAATGAATATGTGGCGTCAACGGACGGCAACACTGTCAGCTACTAGATATACAGGTCCGGTATAAGCCATATGAAAATAATAAAGTTAAAATGTTTTGAGTTAAATAAAATATCAAAATAAATATTTTTATTTTTAAGGCTTTTCTACCGCTTTCCGTTCGGTCGAAGTTAAGAGGTACCTCATCCATTTGATAGAATATTTCTACGCAACCCTCTCTTTATTTATGTAAAGACATATTATACGTGTAATAATTACCTTTACCGTTCAGTCTAATGGGACGCCTACCTTTCTCTCCACCTGAAACGCGGGCTGGCCCAATTTGTCAGTATATTGTAACTATTGTGTTGATAGTAATTTCTTTGCAGAGTATATTTTTATTTATTACTTCGACGACGGATTCGAAAGTTTTCTTTCTTCATCTAGTGGAATTATTTTTTAAATAAATGATTAACTACATTTAAATTGATTTTATTTATATTCTAAGGTGAAATAATAAAGGATTTTTATACATATAATTATTGATCGTATTTTTTGTAAATAAATATTATTGTTGTTATAACTTATATATTCCATAATGTACACTTGATATCCGCGCGAAAGCTGTGGATGGCTTTATTTATGGTGTATTTAAAGTAATAAACTGATTTTTGGAAAGTGCTTTAATATACAGTGGTACATACTATAAAATATTTGTTTTTTTAAACAAAATTGCATCAATGTCACAATTAATTTGTAGTGTAGACGAAAAATTTTTTGAAAACTATTTTATCGTATTGTACATATTATATATGCTCTGTTTTAATTTCATAAAAAAATATAAAGTATTGGTTTTATCTTTTCTCCGTTCACTGAAAGTAAAAATAGGTCAAAATAAATTAAATACATAAAAAAAATACGTGTGGCACTCGGGGACCGCCGCGTTAAAGCTATTGCATAGCATTTTTTATCAACTTATGCAATTATAATTATTCATTTATTTTATTTAGGCAGTATTTTTTTTCTTTGATATTAATTCAAGTTTTTTCTTTGATATTAATTCTAGTTACATTTTTTGAGCGTGGTGACCGATAAGAAAACAAATTTTCTTCTTTTATTGAATAAATGAGAAGTTAATATTGTTTAAAATATTTTTATTATCTTACAATACATGTAGGTTATTCAGGAATTTTTATCATTGAAACTATAGGTTTATGGTAACTGAAATAAGAAGCATAAGTTCTAAATATCTGGAAAATACCGCGACAATGGTGGTCCCATATTTTGTTGTGGATTCTTGTGGATCATTATTCATTTTCAAATTCACATTTCCGAAATTGTGTCTAAAACAGATAGAACCAGTTATGAGCAGTTAGCAGCTAGTCTACACGCATACGTCTAGTCGCACGCACACAAACACTATGCCGAAGTCTGCCGAACTGAAACGACGTTAGACGATGCACGGCTTTCAACGCCGCACCGCTGTGCCGGTCGGAGTGGGGGGTGTTAGGTTTATTTTCGTTACGGAATTTCTTTTTCGATTTTTTTGATTTTTCGGTTTTTTGGTTTTTCGATTTTTCGGTTTTTCGATATTTCGGTTTTTCGATTTTCTTTTATTGAATAAATGAGAAGTTAATATTGTTTAACGCTGTGCCGGTCGGAGTGGGGAGTGTTAGGTTTTTTTTCGTTACGGTATTTCTTGATTCGGTCGCCGCGCTCAAAGCCCGCGATAAAAGCTATGCAATAGCTTAAAATTACCTACTATTGTTAATGAAACATTTTATTTCACATAACAAAATATAATTATAAAAAAAATAAATTATATCAATTTCTTCTTACAATTTCTTTTATTAATTATTTTCTCTACGAATATTCCTAGTGGGGTCCAAACTATAAAATAACAATATTTGGCTTTCGTTATAGCCAATGTCCAGGGAAGTTAGGAAATATAGCGTCCCAGCAAACATTTTCTATAACATTAGTTATAACTCGACTTTGTTTAAGACGAATTTACTTATTGAGGTAATTATTTCGTAAAATTGACTAGAAAAATATACCTCTAATGTAAATTTACCAAACGGTTTTAATTTATATTTAAATTTACGTAAATTATACCAAGAAATCTACCTTTTACACAAATCTGCTTAAAAGTAACTTTAACCATATCAGCAAGGGAAAAACTACTTAAAAAAATAACCAACAATTACTTCAAAGTTAAATTTCCTTTGTAGTAAAATTAGGTGCCATATTTAGGTAATATCTACCTGTTTGGCAACTAAAAATCGACTTTATAGTAGAATATCCAACTAGGTAGATTTGGTTAAAAATTCTACGTAATTTTATGCCTCCATAGTAACCTATTTGGCCGCTTTTATTTACTCTCCTTTAAAGTAATATTAGGTCGAGATCGTAGCAAAATTCTACCTGTTTATCTACCTAATTTCAACCAAATAGTCGAATACTCATTTAGTTGACCTATAAGTCATCTTGAAGAAATATTTATTAATTTTGTTGTAGCAATTACCTGAAAAATTTACCACAAAGTAAATTCGACTAAAAACCACCAATTTAAAAAAAGTCATACATGACCTATTTGTAAAATTTATATTATTTAGGTTATTTTAACAATTAGGTTGTTCAGTTACTGTCTTCGTCATTATTCTTAAGAATTTCGGCCATTTTAAAAAAACCATTACAGTCGTAATCTTAATTTACGTGTGGTGTAGATAGAGCTTTAAATGAACGCGAAAAATAATAAAATGAGTTCGAAAAATAATAAATCATATCGTTATACTTCCGATTTTTATCGTAAAGTGAAACGTCTAAAATCTCAAGTGCAGAACAACGTGACCTAAATATGTTATATTTACCTATAGGTAAATTTTTTATAAAACCTATAAGTTATTATTTCTTTAAATAGGTAAAGTTAACTAATATGTCGTGAAATTGAAGTTAATTCAACTTAGTAAAAAGGTATTTGTAAAATATGTAGATTTCCTTAGTCATAATAACTTTTAGGTCGAATTCGCACAATACGCCATATTTTCTTAACGTAATTAAAGTACGATTCCAAATTTTAAATTTTTAAAATGACCATAACTAAAACATACGAATGAAAATACCGAAAAACGAAACATTATTGATTTTCTAAAGTGATGCACAACAAACGTAACATAGTTTTAGCTCATAATATTATTATTATTTTTTTACACGATCATATTTTTTTCTTATATTTTTTTAGTTAGAGATTATTTTGGAAAGGCATTGTTATTTTTCTAAGTAGAACTGTTAACATGCACGACAAAATTTTCTTCGCATTAATTTCAACAAGCGTGAACTGTATATTCACCGCAATTACATTACATATATTTTTGTCACCGACATTTATTTATTTTCAATCTTTCATGTCAATTAGGTATATGTTTTAGTTGTGTTGGTTACTTCTTACAATATTTCTACTTATATATAGATAAAAATACCAAATAAGTATAAAATTTATTTTCGTACACTTGGAGGCATACGTCATCTGCAAATATTTTGGTAGTTTCTACCTAAACTTAGTTAAATCAACGTCGAATTAACGTTATACTGACGTCAAATTTCCCTAGAGAGGGTATTACTAACCAAACGTACTGGGCTACTACAATGTGGATTTAGATGTAATTCTACCTATTTTGGTCGTCTTATTCTCCACTTATGTCGAATCCACGTCGAGCCAACGTAAATTTTACTTAATTAGGGTTAAATCTAATTTTGCGACCAAATTTATTATATATAATTTAGGTAGTATCGACGTCAAATTACACCAAAGTGTTTGCTGGGGTAACTTTGCTCATACACCAGATATCGAGATGCGGTTTTCTGCATTGTATTCAGGAAGGTCCAGAGAAAAAAGTTTACATTTGGTTTGGAGCGTTTTTGGAAAAATGCCTTCTAGGCCGGAAAATTGCATCATAACTTGCACCATTATAGGAACGACTGGAAACTCGGAAATCATTATTCGGGGGTTTTCGGGGCTGCCGAACTCGATTCTGGCATTAGAATTACCCGGGAATGCACGTGGGTGGCTCTGTGGGGTGCGCGGAACTCTACAATTTCGCCCCCGAATCAACCCCCGGGCACACAGGTAGAGCCACCTCGAACACCCCCAAGTAATTCCAATGCCGGAATTGAATTAGGCATCCCCGAAAACCCCCGAGTAACGAGTTTGGAGCAACTTTCATGCACGCTGCCATTTCTCCCCCAATTCACCCCTCGCGCATCCCCACAGAGCCACCCCCGTGTAATTCTAATGCCAGAATCGAGTTTGGCAGCCACGAAAACCCTCGAATAATGATTTCCGAGCGATTTCTCCGAGTTTCCAGTCGTTCCTATAATGGTGCAAGTTATGATGCAATTGGAAAATGCATTTTCGGCCCAGAAGGCATTTTTCCAAAAACGCGCTGAACCAGACCATGTAAACTTTTTTCCCTGGACCTTCCCGAACACAATGCAGAAAACCGCATCTCGATACCTGGTGTTTGAGCAAAGTTTTGACTATTTTCGCGATGATTGTGTGTGTGTGTGTGTGTGTGTGTGTGTGTGTGTGTGTGTGCGTGTGTGGTGTGTGTGTGTGTGGTGTGTGTGTGTGGTGTGTGTGGTGTGTGTGTGTGTGTGTGGTGTGGTGTGTGTGGTGTGGTGTGGTGTGTGTGTGTGTGTGTGTGTGTGTGTGTGTGTGTGTGTGGTGTGTGTGTGTGGTGTGTGGTGTGTGTGTGGTGTGTGTCTGTGGTGTGTGCGTGCGTGTGTGCGTGCGTGTGTGCGTGCGTGTGTGCATGTGTGCGTGCGTGTGTGCGTGCGTGTGTGTTTGTGGTGTGTGTGTGTGTGTGTGGTGTGTGTGCGTGTGTGGTGTGTGTGTGTGGTGTGTGTGTGGTGTGTGTGTGTGGTGTGTGTGTGTGGTGTGTGTGTGTGGTGTGTGGTGTGTGTCTGTGGTGTGTGCGTGTGTGCGTGCGTGCGTGTGTGCGTGTGTGCGTGCGTG